CCTGTGGAGCATCAGTCAAGATAAATCTTGATTTGACATCAAGACTAGTGATGCACGATATTGGATTTTTGGCCGATGTCCGATATGCCGATATGTTAAAACTTATTTGGCCGATACCAATATTTTATATACGTTCCTTTGTCAGAACATAGCCCTCTTATTTAGGATTATTTGCTACAAAAATTGTGCTACAGCTGTAAGAGCTGGTGATATATTTTCAGTAACAGCCATATGATATGCATAGCACTTTGACTTAAATGAAATGAAAAGTATTAAATTTTATTTATTAGCATTAATCACCTGTGATGCTGTCTCACTTGTGTAGGCTTGTTCTGGGTTTCTAACTGCAGTGTGGAATCCTCTGCATTCCTGTGCATGAAGGACAGCCTTTTTAAGTTCAAAGTTTTTGTCTATCCATTGTGCCGTAAGACTAATCATGCTAATGCGGCTAACACAACGTCCAAATGTCTGTGGTAAAACTCATCCAACAAGTCGTGCTATTGGCTATTAGCTTCTCAATGACGTCGGAAATGACTGTTTGTAACTCGGGTAATGTTACGTCGGAAAAATATCTCCAACTGGGGACGATGTAGCGAGGCTCAACGAAGTCCATAAATCTTCGGAATCCGACATCCTCACCAACGAAAAATAAAACTTCCACACCGCCAACATTTTGAATTTTCCTCTCCACCGTGAGCTCGGGTAGGAGCACGTGACGTCATCTCGCTGTGCTGCCGCTGCAACGTCATCACGTTGTGCTGCCACTGCAGACAAAAACAGCGCCTTTTATTTTGGTTAGTTATTTTAATGGAATGGCCGATGTTCGATATTGAAATTTAACGTTAATATCGGCTGATACCAATACCGTGCCGATAATATCGTGCATCCCTAATCAAGACAGAAACTGTCTGGATTGAGGATGGTACAATCAAATGTTTTTTTGTTGTGTCTGAGCGCCATTCTTTTATTAAAGTGGAGATTTGTTGTGTAATCAATGTTGCAAGGAGGTAAAGCTCAAAGTGAACATAGCGATAGAAGAATTAACATATTTAGGAACACATGTTGAATTTTAGAATAATTTCTTTTTTAGAAATTTTACAATTGAAGAATATCTCCTGAGCATGATGCAGATCCCCCCCCCCCCCCCCAATGAACTGTACTCAAGCAAAACTTGTCCTTTTGTCCACTTAGATCTTTTCCTGGTCCTTATCCGTCTCTAAGTTTAGTTTAGTTGGTCAGGAGGACAGGATAGATCTCTTTTAATTCTGCCAGTATATCCTCCTGACTTGGCAGGATCCCAGCAGTGACCCTCACACGTCGTAATCTGGCATCAGTCATGAGCCTCTGATCGCACGTGCAATCCATGGAAACCTGAGGTGTTCTTACTAGAGTCAGAGTTTAATGCCACCTGGCCAACTACAAACCTGCTGGGTCACAAATGGTCAAGTTAAACAATTCATACTCCATTAATATAACTTTTTTCCACATACTTATTTTCCAGATGGTTGTTTTTGCACTGTCTTATTTTTATCAGCTTATAAAATTTATGACAGTTTGACATGATTATTTCTAGAAGAAGTTCACTGACAGCCAAGTTTATTTCAGTTGCTATCCCACAAATATCCCAGATACAGATTAGGAAACGTAACCCAACTTGTTCAGCACCTTGTTTCCATTCAGCAGTCAAATAAGCCACCAGTGTGGCCCTAAATAAATTATTTCCTCCATCATCACTCCTGTATATCACACGGTTATTAAAAATGTACTTTAATTGTACTGTTAGTTATTTTAGAAGTCTTTGATTTTAAAACAAGTCACATCCTTTTGCATATAGGAGGTGAAAATATAGGTCATAACTTAAGGGTGGTATCTTGGGGCGGCTGTGGCTGAGTTGTTAGAGCAGTCGTCCTCCAATGCAAGAGTTGGGATTGGATTCCACCAGCAGTCACATGCCGAAGTGTCCCTGGGCAAGACACTGAACCCCTTGTTGCATCCGATGTGTGTCCCATCGGTGTATGAATGTGATAAAGCACTTATTAGTCTTTGTATAGATCTAGTAGAATGCTATATGAATGGGTAAATGATGGCACTGATTGTGTTGTAAAGATCTTTGAGTATCTTAACAAGCTAGAAAGGTACTGTATAAGTGCAGTCCATTTATCATTTAAGCTTCTTTCTCTCGTGCACAAGGCGAGGCCCCCAGTCTGTAATGACCTAGAAGAAGCTAGACTGGATGACCCAGCGGTCATCCTAGAAGCCATCTGGCAACGCACGTCTTGTGTGGCTTACCCATCCCACTGCCTCACGCAACTCCTTAAGCAAGCATAAGTGTGCTTAGGAGGACTTAATCTCAGAGAAACTGGTTTGGGCCACACTTGTTGACTGTCATAGTGGATACACTCGGCTAGAAGGTCACGGGGTTCCTTACAGGCGTGTAAACTGAGACCGTGTCTCTGACAGCCTGACCTGTCCGTCTGCTGTGGGATTTAAATCTCTGGACTGCTTGTCCCTTGTCATGAAGGTGTTCATATCATCTAATCAATATATAAAAGGGCAATTATTTGCTGTCTGTTAGCAGAACTAGTCAGAATTCTTAAAATATTCTGTGATGTCATCGATTGGATGAGTTGTGTTTTGAGCAGATGCTCTTAGGTATGTTCCGCTGGCCCGTGAAGCAAAGAGGGGAAGCAAGAGAAGCCTGAGCCTGTTTGCACTTGCACAGAGGTTACTCTTGGCCTTTTGACTGTCTGCCAGTGCAGGGGCTTGTGTCTTCCAGAAGAGGGCCTTGGCTACAGGCAGGCGAATATACCAGCCAGCCAGACAGGCAGCCAGCCACATCGTCTGCAGTCTCGGTCTGGGGCTACAGCCTGGACTAGGGCAGCTCAAGTTACCCAGACAGATTTGTTAACACTGTTTGGGTCCACTCAGCTTTCTAGCCAGGCTTCTGAGCCAAACGCGGCTGAGGTGACTTAATCTGTCATTAAACTCACATTACACCCGAACAGAGACTCTGCTCAGGGGGGCAGAGACGGCACTCACTCCTCCACTCACTGGCACGGCTGGCTGGGTTCAGGCAGACACAAAGAATACATCCCCCTTTCCTCCGCCCTCCCATCCTCTTCATGCCACACACCATGGCACAGCTTGACAACCCGGCACAGTCTAGACGAAAGCAATTTCACTTGAAGTTGAAAAGTCATTTGGCTGTTGCAACGGGCATCCTCGTGCAGTTCTTGGTGTTGAATATATTCCACGGGTTTGTGTTTTGTTTTTCAGAGCGCTGTGGATCTTTTTATTTAAAAAAAAACCTGACAGATAGAGCAGGCAAAATGAGATTAATGTTCGTTTTTAAGCAACAAAATCGTGAAAAATGTACTAGTTTTTTTTTTTAAAAGGACCAGGAATGTGTTGGTCTGTACATTCAAACTGAAGACTATCAAGCTTTTATGCCAGTATTTTTAAGTGTCTATATTTAGATAAACTCTGCAACCTTGAAACAAGATGTAGGTTAGCAATGCATCAATCATAAGCATGAAAATAGTGAATAAGGTGGGAAAGTGTTTGTTTTTTTGTTTGTTTGTTTTGTTTGTTCATCTTTGACATTAGTATCATTTTATCTTTTTTACTCTGAGCTGCTCATAGTAAACATTTGTCTTTGTGCATTTATCACTAGCTATCATTCAAGCAGGAGGAGCTGGTCGAACTCTGTTCACATCGGGCAAAAGAACAATTTGCTTCCATTACGCTCAGTTTTAAAATGTCAGAATCCCTAACAACCTGCAGTACCATCAGTGGAGGTCTAAGACATCGTTTCCTTCTGCCGAGGTTTGTTTTTACGTAACAGCTGGTTCTGGTTCCTCCCCGAACCTCCCTGCGCCCCCACTGTCGAGAGCTGCCAAAAGCCAACATATGAACTTTATAATCAACTGTTACAAAGAGCAGTGCCAAGTCAACGTGCCAAATATTTTTCACATGAAGGCGCTGCTTTGTTTCATTTAAGCCTCGTCTATTTAACTTTGTTCCTTTCATTTATGGGTTTGCACCGTTCTCAAGATAAAGCCGAAACATTAAAGCTGATTTTTTTTTTTTCCTCCTAATTGGCTAAAATGAGGTGACGCTGATCTAAACACATCTTAAAGTCTTACAAGCCATATACATTGCTGAGTCACAGGGTAAAATCTACGAAGAAGAAGAAATCACCTGGTGAAATGTTTGTGGAGAAAAGTTGGAGGCAATTTAAATGACTTGTTGTGGTGACACAATTGTTTTTTTGTTTTTTTCTTTTAAATAAAGTCAAGTCAAATTTATTTATAGAGCACATTTAAAACAAACTGTTACCGAAGTGCTTAACAATAAAATCACAGCATCAAGTAAAAAATAACAAGATATAATTAAAAGCATCAAAAATGAAAACATAAAACCACAACGAGAAACAATGGGACAATAAATCAGATCAGACCGTGTTAAATGTCAGTTAATACATGTGTGTTTTCAGGAGAGATTTAAAAGCAGGGAGTGAAGTGCCATGTCTGATGTTTATGGGCAGATTGTTCCAAAGTTTAGGGACTACAAAAGCCGATCTCCTCTGAGCTTCAGCCTGGTTTTTGGTAAAACCAAAAGCAGCTGGTCAGATGATCTCAGCGCCCGAGAAGGAACATAAGGTTGAAGTAGGTCAGAGAGGTACGCAGGTGCAAGGCCTTTAATGCAATTAAATGTGATCAGGAGAATTTTTTAATCAATTCTGACATGCACAGGGAGCCAGTGAAGGGAGGACAAGACTGGTGAAATATGCTCAAACCTATTAGTTCCTGTTAAGAGCTGAGCTGCAGCATTTTGGATTACTTGGATCAAGTAAATCCTTTTTTTCCTTAGATTTTATCTTAATAAATCTGCTAATCATATGAGTTTAAGTCTATTTAAAGGTAGAAAGTAACATAGTTTCTGATGGTTTAGATGCTGTTTTGTGATTTGAATGACCCTCGTTGTGTTTTTATCTGTAGATTAAGAAGTACTTCGAGCTGGAGCCTCTGGCCCGAGGAAAACGTTGGATCCTGGAGGGCAGCACCGTCGACAACATAGAGGCAGTGAAGGAGAGCTTCGGCCAGTTCATTAGCCTGCTGGAGGAAAAAGAAACAGAGCCTACAAGGATATGATGCTAACACACATTAGCAGTGAACAACCATGATGCCCACACACACACACACCCAGAGCAGAGACGCAAACACAAAAAGATAAGACCAATGCTTGCCACTCTGTGTCGTCCTCCCCCACTGCGTTTTCGGTTCGCAAATTGGAAAAGTTCACAAGTCAACCACCACGGACTGACCGAGGAGAGCCACCGTTCAATACTCCCCTTCCCCCAACGCCCAGAAAACTCCACCCAACTTCACCAACAACGGCACTGTTTGTACAACTGTGATGCAATCAAAGTCATTTAGGACGTTTAGTGATTCTCTAATCATTGATAAACAACAAAACACTTTGATATTCACACACAATAACTTTCTGGAGCCCAGATTGTCTGAAGATGCTTTTAGCATCTCCACTAATTACTTTGCAGGATGTTGGATTGAGCATGGCTGATGTTCTTTCCTGTCCGAAGTTCTGTTGGGCTGTAAAGCGTGCCTCTCCCTTTGACTCGGTAACAACAAAGGTCGTTGTGTAATCGGAGGTCGTAGTCCAAAGCCCTGTGTTATGTACAGCAGTTACGTCTCGCCGCGTCTGAATATCTAATCTGAATAGTGTAGTCCGAGTATCGTGTAGATGCAAACAAGGATATTGATGCGTCGCCTCCTGTGCAGCCACACAACGACAGACTGAGCACAAAGTGCATTTGTTTGGACGGAGTGGGAACAAGTCTGAAACGTTTTATAAATGTGCAACTTGGGTTCTATTTTATAGCTTTGTATGTTAATCTTGTAAAACAGCACTCGGCTTTTTTATGTCTTTCATCCGTATGTCAAACTTATGTTGTTTTTGTTCCAAATCAAAGCAAAAGAAAGATGATTGAGCTGGATGTAGCCACAACGTGTGGATATTTAAATGTGTCTCTGTAGTGCTGAGTAAATGTCAGGTCTGTTTTTGTTCCTTTTTTTTTTTTTTTTTGTACATTTGACACAACTACACAACCTCTGAACACAGGCTGGTGACTGCAGCTTCCCATCAGGGTGGAATACAAACTATCAATCAGCCGCAGCAACAGCTGCATGTGACAAGTCCCTGTCCGACAGCCTAATGCCTCCCAACTGTCTGGAGACCCCGCCCTGTCTGCTGTTTATCGCAGACCCCTGCCCCTCCAGTCCAACTCCGATTCTTGTTGCCATTAATGCTTAATGTTTTGTTTTTTTAATCTCAGATGTCATTTCAGCCCCGGTGCCCTCACGTGGACTCCAGACCTTCAGAATGAGTCGTCGTCATTGTGCCACAGGTGTCCATTTATTCCCCGAGGTGTTTCAGTAATGGATTATATTTAAAATATGTTGGGGTTTTTTTTGTCAGTATTTTGTCAGTTTTTTAGAAATTTAAACACTTTTTGTACCTGATGTGAGAACTGAGTGAATTAGTGCATTTATTTGTATGAATGAAAAATAAATCTCTCAACCATGGATTATAAAAGTGTTGCATTTTTATATTGCCTCTTCACAAAAATGTGTTTTTTAAATCCTATCATACAGCTCGTTCGTAAAGAAAATAAAACGTTTAAAAACGGACATCCTCAGATGTTCTTTATTTGACCCTTTAAACTCGATCAATTGTTTTGAATCCGAGTGCACAATAAGATTAGTTATTTAAGTTTCAGCGTAAAATTTCTGACCCAATGTATTCCTGAACATTTTTCCTTTAGTGTCTCTGATTTGTTCATTAAGGTGAGCTGCTGAAATCTGAGACCCAGGAAAACACAGATGAGCCAGGAGAGTTCAAGCCGAAGTTGGAAGAGGAGGAGGAAGGGGGGCCGGGGGTGAAGAAGCGATCAAAGTGGAGCAGCTGAAGAAAGTTTTGAGCGGAGAGTTAACCGAGTGAGACAGGAGTTCCTGATAAATGTACTCTACTCTGCGCCACCTCTGCCTCCCCCTTCTCTTCTCCTTTTGCCCTTCTTCCCTCTCTTTCAAATTAACCGTGTGGCTTTAATACAATGTGTGTCATGCAGGTTGCCCTGGCGACTCTTTGATCCTGTTTTCCAGTCTCTGCCTGTGGGGCAGACGTGCCTCTCCTCAGTCTGCTGCACACCAGCTCTGGAAGCTGTTCAGCCCTGAGACAAACCATGGGCCGCTGCGCTCATCTTGCACCCCCTTTTTCCTCCCGTTGCACACAATCCCTTCTTTTGCTCTCTTCATCCATCTTTCTTCCTTGCTCCTACTCGCTCTGCTTCTGTTTGGGCACATCCTCAGAGTGGGCATTCAGGGTGCCCGAGGAAAGGGAAGAGGCCAGGGTCTCTGTGACGCAGCCCTCCCACAGGAGCATGAAGGCAGATGGAGCTGTCTGCACAATATATTTTATATATGTGAAGATGATGCAGCCACTGTTCTCCTCACTCAAAACCTTTACATGCTCTCTTTGTGTAATTATTGACGAAGGCAACGCTAAATCTGGCAACCCTTGTTGATTTTTCTTGCAAAATCTGTTAGCATTACAAATGTGTGTCTGGGATCAGTCTCAGCTACTACCTGACCAAATTTGAGATAATCAGGTATAAGATGTAGCCCCTTTTTGTGTTTATAAGATCAATTGGCTGTGGCAGCCATCTTGAATTAGGTTAACTCCAAAAATTAATCTGATAAAGCTGTCAACAGAATTTTTACTTTTTGAAAGTGGTTCGTGAGATGTTTTGCTAACAGGCAAAAACTAAACCTTTTTTTTTTGTCTGCCTTCACGGCTGCAGGAATCTAAAACATAAAAAACAAATATTACTAATGAATACACAGTAAACGCATCTGGTAAACAATAAAATAAGCAAATATTTATATTCTAAAAGCCTAGTTTAAAGTGATGGTTCAGATTGTTTGAAGAGGGGTTCTGCATAAAGGTTGTGAAATGCAAATATCTTACCTGTTTTAGATATAGAGGGACATTTGTTTAGAGCAGGGGTGCCCAAAGTGGGGCCCGCGGGCCAAAGTTGGCCCGCCAAGCTGACCTCATTACTATATTAAAATTTCCTTTGAAGAATCACTGTGCTTACACTCAGTCATTCCAAGTTTAATGTTAGATGGACAGTTGGCCCAGTGACTACTGTAATAACACTACACAGCTGGAGTGACTAATTTGTGCATTATTTATTTTTTTATTTTAATAATTTATATTTTATTTTGACAGACATCCTAGTGTCTCTGCAGTTTCTCGCTGCTGAATAACTTTCCTTTGACAAAGCTGAGCATCATGTAGGTGTCCATCACACACCCTTCTTGAGCACCCCTAAATTTTAACTCAGCATCTCTGAAAAATTAAGAAACAATCATTAGGATTTTGTAAGGAAACAGTTCTCAAACCTTAGATTCACCAAAATATTGAATACATGTTGAATAAATATGGAATAAATGACAACAGTCTCAAACAGGCCAGTAAATATTTTTTTTTGCACGACTCATGCCACCTGTCAATCAATCCAGTAGATACATCAGCGACTGACCAGTCAGCGACCTTGATTTGTCCTGAAGTGAACACCTCTTACCTGCAGAGCTGCAGCTTTGCAGTCACAGATTTCAATAATAAGAGTTTACATGTTTTGTTTCATGTTAATTTACTGTAATAAACCTTTGTAAAATACACCAAAATGCAGAAAATGGCATCTACTTTATTCAAAATTCTCTGGGGGGAGAACCCCCAGAACCCCCTCCCACACACACACACACACACACACCACCACCACCGATGAAGCCTGTTCTGTGATGTTCTTTATATAGAATGGAAGGATAAATAACTGTAATAAATAAATGGACTTAAAGAATTATTTTCATTTCATGAATTAAATTATTGCATTTGGCCCACAGCCCTCTGATAGATTTTAAATTTGGCCTTTTCAGAGAAAAACTTTGGGCACCCCTGGTTTAGAGAAATGGAGTTTAAATCCTGGCAGAGCAAAGTGGATTGTTGTATTCTCTAAACTTCTTAAAGTTTATGCAGAACATTTTGCTTGACATGTTTATTTAGACTGTTACAATTTGTGAAAGCAAATAATAATAATTCTGATGCAGTCTGAGACACTTTGAGCAGGAATACCATATTTTATTTGCCAGGTTACTGTGCAGAGCAACACAGATGGCGATGAACGCAGCCTCTAAAGGAACATTCAAGTTTCAACATGGAGATTTTTTAGGAATTAAAAAATTTAGTGATAATTAATAGTTACCTGGAGGGCAGGGAAGCACTAAGAAATCTCAAACCTTTTTGTTCCCAAGTCATTCAGAGAATGAGTGAGTCAGATGCCACACAGAAGCAAACGCAGTCGGGATCAAACGCTTCAACCACAAGCAATTACTTCAGGTGTATTTCTGCAGCTTTCATCGTTCGTCTCTGGTTTGGAGTTTCTGACACAAAGAGTTGCGTCATCATGGGGGGTGTTTAGCAGATCATGAACATTGTGTACAGTGCACAACGAGCAGGCCACAAGATTAAAAAAATAGTAAAAAAAAGTGAATACAAACATGGGTTTATTACCATTTAGAGACTAAATTATCATTGTCTGTCTCTGAAGAGTGTTTGTGTTCTTGTGTAGAACAGAATCGTTGGACGGGATTTAATGAAACTCTTAAACTAGAGAAATTGCATTTCCAGCAAAAATACAGTGTGAATGCTTATTACTGAAGAACTTGCTGAAAAAATGGATTAAATTAGCTTTAAAAAATGCTGAATTTTAGCTGAATAGGAATAACAAACCTAAATTAGCAGAAGAATGAAAAAAAAAACATATATTTGCTGAATTGGGTTTAAATAAGCAGAAATTAGTAAATTACCTTTAAAAAAGCTCAAATTTGCAAAGAAAATAGCTGAAAACTCAATGAAAAGACAGAAAGAAGCTTAAATTAGAGAATAAATTGGAGAGAGCACATTTTTGCTGAATGGGGCTGAAAAAGTTGAAAGGAGTGCAAAAAATGTGGAATTAGCTGAAATAGCTAAGATTAGCATTAAAAACTGTTAAATCATAGCTCAAATAACTTAAATTAACATAAATAAACTGAAAGGAGCATAACAAACTGAAATTAGCATAAATAAGTTAATTAGGCTGAATGAAGCAGAAATTATCACAAAAAAAACCTTGAATTTACCAGAAAAAGGCTGAATTAATCTTCTTAAAAAAAAGGCTAAAAAAAATAAAGGGTAGCTGAAAAGGTAGAACAAGCTTAAATTACCAGAAAAAAGCAGAAAGAACGCACACTTGCCCAAATAGGCTGAAAGAAGCAGTAATGCGCACAAAGAAAGAA